CGACGAGGGGGCATGCGGCGATGGTTTGTGGGTAATTAGTGGTTTTATTGTTTAAAGATTTGATTTTTATTGGATGGTTTTTGTGTAATTTGTGGTTTTATGGTTTAAAGATTGAATTTTTAATGCATGGTTTTGTGTGTAAATAGTGGTTTTATGGTTTAAAGATTGGATTTTTAATGGATTGTTTGTGTGTAATTTGTGGTTTTATGGTGTAAAGATTGGATTTTTAATGGATGGTTTGAGAGTAATTAGTGGTTTTATGGTGTAAATATTGGATTTTTAATGGATGGTTTGTGTGTGCAGGTTCTGGATTTGTGTCACAAGATATTTACCTTCATGGGTATTTTAGTGCTTCTATTAAACTACCTGCAGATTACACTGCTGGCGTTGTCGTTGCATTTTATGTGAGTAAATATTCGATTCCCTTTTAAGGATTATTTCTTCTGTTTAATTTATTAATTGATCAGAAAAAAAAAACATTTTTTTTGCATGACATAATTTAATGAAGGGGGCTCTTCAGTATCTTCATCTCAATTTCACCAAGATTTTGTTTTAATAAATAAAATTGCAATTATCTTTTTAATATATACTAAAAATATTATAACCACCCAATAAAGATAAATATTATCCAATCCCCTGCATCTTGAATTTGTACTGAGGTTAATTTATGCAAAAAAAAGTTCCTTTCTTGAAACTAGTATGGGTTTTGGTGACAGATGTCAAATGGTGACATGTATGAGAAGAACCACGATGAAATCGATTTCGAGTTCTTGGGGAATATACGGGGTAAAGATTGGAGAATTCAGACAAACATTTATGGGAATGGGAGCACAAGTGTTGGCAGAGAAGAAAGATATGGTCTTTGGTTCGATCCCTCCGAAGATTTCCATCAATACAGCCTCCTATGGACTCATAATCTAATTGTGTAAGTAATCTATGTCTATAGTTCTTGAATTTTCTTCTGTTTTTACTATTTATGGTGTTTCATTTGTGATTCTCTCTCTCTCTCTCTCTCTCTCTCTCTCTCTCTCTCTCTCTCTCTCTCTCTCTCTCTCTCATCATGGAGAAAGAACTTTACTTTCCATTTGTGGAAGTACTTAGTTTATGTTTGGCATCCTATGCTCATTTTTAATGTTGTTGGCCTTATTTCTTCTCATGATTCAATTAGTGGATAGTATCTTTGAACAAAGCATATAACTTTGTGTGATTAGGAAATTACTTTTGATTCTCTATCCATTTTATACGGTTAAGTAAATTACTTAATATGCGGACTTATTTCTATAAGAAATAGTTTAATAAGTTCTAATAGCAAAACGATTCTTGATTCCGTTTTTTTTTTTGAATTTTGTTGCAGATTTTATGTTGATAATGTTCCGATAAGAGAGATCAAGAGGGCAGAAGCAATGGGTGGGGACTTCCCCTCAAAGCCAATGTCTCTCTACGCAACGATATGGGATGGCTCCGATTGGGCCACAAACGGTGGCAAATACCGAGTCAATTACAAATACGCCCCTTTCATCTCCGAATTCTCCGAGTTCGTCCTCCACGGATGCTCCGTGGACCCCACCGAACACACCACCAACAACTGCGAAAACACCCCCCAACCCGGCGCGTCACAGCCCGCGGGCCCCACACAAAACCAAAGAAGCAAAATGTCGAGCTTCCGGAACAAGTACATGCAGTACTCGTACTGCTACGACCGATCAAGGTACAATACTCCCCCCACCGAGTGCGTGGTGGACCCTAAAGAGGCCGAGCGCCTGCGCGGCTTTGACCCCGTGACCTTCGGAGGTGGCCGCCGCCCCCGCCGCGGCAAGAGGCACCACCGCAGTAAATCCGCATCTTCCATGTGATTAAGATGAGTTTATCGATGATTTGATTTTCCCTATATATAATAATATTCGTGTTATGGTCGCATTTTATTTGGGAGTTGGATTTAGGCATCTTGTGGATGTGAATAGAAGAAGGGATGAGTGGGAGGGCATAATGGTCATTTTGAAGATGATATTTATTTTCATATATATACATATGTATGTATGCATGGGCCTATGTTATGATGATGATGATGGGGTGTGTACATATGTCATACATTTAGGTACCCCCATATCCATATTTTCCTCATTGGTAGAGTTGCATTTATTGTGTACTCTTTTGGCTTCATAGATTAATTTGGGAGAAATGATTTGTGTACTTTGAACATTTGATATATACCTTTGTGTTTCAATAAAAATATATAATAAATCATGTGGGGTTATTATTATTATTATTATTATTATTATTTATGAATATGGGGTAGGTTGGGAATAGTATTCCAATTTTTTGAATATTTGTGTTATAAATTACAGTTGAACTTCGATAAATTAATAACTTCGCTGAAATAATAATTTCTTCAGGTTTCCGACACGGTGGAGTTGTGTTTAGTTTTTAACTCGATAATATAATAATCTGCAGAATTAATCGAATTTTGTCATGTTTAGTTTTTAACTCGATAATATAATACTTTGCAGAATTAATAGAATTTTGTCAGTCTAGACTATACGCTTGGATTGTGTACACAGTCAATGACACGTCAGAATTGTTGTCTTGTTCACACACACGGACCATTTTTTTTATTTAATTATTTTATAGACACGTGTGGGAATCAAATATTGGAGAGTGGACAAAAGGAGTTGAAAGGAAAAATCCAAACACTGCAAAACAACAACGAATAGTTAAAGCAACGCCATCATTAACGCGTTGGTTGAATTTGCGTTTTGCACCCCAAAATTGACATTCGTCGGCGGTTCGCACCCTGAAATTTAAAAAAAATAACAATTTACACCCTCAAATTTAATTTATCGGACGTCATTCTTCTCGATTATATATTGATCACTCCATTGCAATCGAACCTGAATTTCGGGCAATTCAGATTCCGACAACTCCGTCACCTGTAAAGGTTGCCATTTTTTCCGACTCGGAATCAAAGCTTTCAATGGATAAATCCTCCAAATATTGGCATATTTCTCGGTTTCCCTTTCTCTCATCTTTTCGATTTTGCGGAAAAACCCTCCTTCTGTTTCCTTTTTATGCTCCAACTACTTTGTTGCGGGGACCATCTCGGAGTTATTTTTCTCGGGTGACGAATACAAAACAAACCATTTAAAAGAGACGGAAACGAAGATAATTGACGAAATTTCGAACTGCAAACGATCCACAACAGCAGATCTATTACCACCATTATTATTAATAATGTCTTGTAATGGAATCTCTTCTTCAATGTCCACAAGTGGTATAAAATCTTGTTTTTTTTCCCCTTTGAAGTAATAGTTGGCTGTAAAAACAAGATTGGGACGAGTACACCAAATGTAGCGCCACGATTTCGACAGGACGGAGGTTCGGACAACTTCTTCTTGGGAGAGGAAACACAGTATTCTCTGCAACATCTCGTTCGGCAACTCGGATATTTTGTCCATGGAGTTGGAGTAACCTTTTTCATGCCTCTAATTAATAAACACTAGTGAAATTAAGTTTAATATTGTTACCAACGGCCGCTAGATCGAGCTTGTCACACATGGTTAGCCTACTGTTGTTTACGTCTCTTGCAGGGTCCAATGTTGCATCAAGTTTTAATTAATTGACGCGACAAATTAACTCGATGGATTTTACAGCTTATATGAATGTTTAAAAATTATAACTTCGACTTTTAATTTAGCCTTGATAAAATTTTAATTATGTGAGAACCCGAACTACGTTAGTGTAGAATTTGTAATTCTTTAAGCGCCCATATAAAAAAAAAAATCTACGAGTTTGTTAGCTACAACGTTAAACAACAGGTAAAATCCAAAGCTCGTGTAAATTTGGACAAAAATTAAAATTGGACAAATCTCTAAAAACCTTTTCCAGGAGAAGACTCTACTCAAATTGTTATGAGGGCAAAAGATCATATGAAACAGCATTTGGTCCTCTTATGAAATAACACTATACTAAGATGCAAAGAAGGTAAACTGAATTCTCGTATCTTATTAAAAAAAAAAAAATTCTCGTAAACAAACGAACGAGAGCTAGGCAACAACATTAAACCAACAGAAAGAAAAATGGATTATGTATAATGTAAAAATGAGTTGTCTACGGTTCTAACTATCGTGAATCTCATAACTCGACTCACAAGCTTTCCCTCCATTTCAATCGAAAGCGCATACGACCGAAGTCCGGGAAAAATGCCGATTCCTCCGACAACCTCGTCGCCTGTACTAAAAACGGCTGCCATATTTTCCGACTCGAATCAAAACTTTCAATGGTTAAATCCTCCAAATCATCTTGCCAGATTTCTCGGCTCCCACTTTCTTTCATCTCTTGGATCTCGAACCAAAACTCACTGAGTTCCTTCCTTTCACTTTCTTTGTACTCAGGCCCTACTTCTAACCACTTGGGATCTACGTTTCTCGGACGACAAATACAAAACAAACCATTTAACAAAGGCACAAGTGAACGCACGTGATCAGAACTCAACCGCAAATGCTCCATCGCAACAGGCTTATTATTATCACCACCACCATCGATAAATTCGTGTTGAACGTACGGCATATTCTCAACGGAATGATGAAAAATATTCAGGGAAATTTCGGACCCGCGTAAAGCGTGGAGCAGTTTACTTAGTCTGGGGAACCACGACTGAGAATCGTCGTCGTCCCAAATAAACAGTTTTAAATACGACTCCCGGCAATTTGGTGCGGAAGAGATTGACGGGATAAGAAGTCCCGAATAGTAAAAATACTCCATGTTGGGGGCATCATCGATAAGTAGCCGATCAGATAGTTCGATCGAATTAATGTTATAGATTTCCACCCTCTTTAGAATCAACGACTTCAGATTGCCGAACTTACGGATGTTAACCCTAATCTTGCTGCCGTTGATCCTGATTGTTTCGAGAGTCGGGATGTCGATTTCAATGCATCGTTTCTCTTCTATGTATCTGTCGTTACTAATAAAAGTGAAGTGCTTGAGATGTTTGTGAAGCTTCGTCTCCAGCTTTATAGTTGTCAACCCTTTACATTCTTGGAACCACATAGTCGTGAGCAAAGGGCAGCTCGATATTATCTTGTCGAAAATCTGTTGCTCGATCGAGACGGTTTGGAGGCGAAGTACTTGCAGACGCACAAAGGGTATATTCTCTGGAATATATTGGACCAAATTGCATCTTTCCAGACGTAAAAGATTGAGAGATTCCGCTTTATAGACTACCGAGGGCAGATTCCGCGTCATTCGAGAACCATGATTTGAAACAATAGAAAGACGAAACTTCTTTACGCCCATGGTTGCGAGTAACGGGATCCATTTATCGAGAAACGGAACAGATGTACAATCCCAATGATAGGTAAGCGATATAGAGAGGTGAAATTCCTCTAAGCACAGGTTTTGATCGCAGTACAGCTGTAAAGTCTTGTCGACAATGGATAGAAAATTATTTTTGTTACCTTTGAAGTTGTTGTCTGAGAAATCGAGATTGGGGCGAGTACACCAAACGTAGCGCCACGATTTCGACAGGACAGATGTTCGGACAGCATCTTCTTGAGAGAGAAAATACAGAATTCTATGCAAGATGTCCTTTGGCAGATCGGATATCCTGGAATTATTACCTTCGTCTTCTCGCTTTGCCTTTTTCATACCTCTAATAAACCCTAGTCAATACTTTTCAACTCAGAAAACCCTAGATACTACTATATAGGGATGATATACTTTTTTGTCTTATATAAAATAAAAGGTCGTCAGGTGAAAGATGTATACCTTTTACAATCTTTGTTTTATTTTCAAATCAGAACCAAATTATCGAATTTCAAAGTTCCAAAAAATTGATTTTAGATTTTCTTTTTATCCAATTTAAATTTTAAAAATAATTTAAAAATATTCCAACTTTGTTTTTTTCTTTGCAAAATTCATATCAATAATATTAATATTCTAATATATAATAAATTAATAATGCAATCTACAGTTAAACCTCTATAAATTAATACTGTTGGGACCATCAAAATTTCATTAATTTAGTGAAATATTAACTTATCGATAAATTAATAATTATTAATTTATACATTAATTAATAAATTATTAATTTGTGAAATTACTTTAATTATTATTTTCAATAAATACGTTTATTTTAATTTTTTTACGTGTATATTATTCATTGTATCATTAGTTCAATGCATTATAGAGCCCGTTTCACGAGCGGGAGCTCCTAAAACAGCAATGGTATAGAAGGATTTTATGTTGAGTTATGACAAAACAATACCGAAAGTTCTAACCATGTTAAGAAAAGTGAGGGACGAGATTGATAGTAATGTGAACTTCAACAAGAAACAAGCAACAATTAAATTATATTGTATTAAGCTTTCATAGACTATAAAATATGTACTATACCATGTAATTTAAGAATTATTTTTATGCATTATTAATTTATATATTATATGGGGCTTCTTAAATTTTTCGAATGTGTATTATCTTATAAATTTCGCGAATTATTAATTTAGCATGTTGTCCCCGAGTCGGGACCGGGAAAATTTATTATTTAAGCGAGGTTATTAATTTATCGGGTATTAATTTATCGAGGTTCAACTGTATGTACATGTACAAATAGAAGTGTAAATAATATAAAATCCAACGTGTTAAAGAAAAATCTGCAGCAAATCCGCACTACCACCACCACCTCTGGTCCGCCGCCGCACCACCGGCCACCATAATCAAATTCAATTTGTCTCTCCTCATTTCTCTAACTCCATCTAAAAGATTCGAAAAAAAGAAGAAATTTCTGAGCCAACCACCATTTATGCTAATTCCATCTCGAAAAACTTCCTTTTTTCCGACATTGGGTTTCGAGTCCAGGCTTTGTGTAGCCATCTCCTTCGTCTATTTCTTCTTTTTCTTCCTTGTGGTGCCGCCAACTCTGAACTCAAAAGGTATGTGAATACAATTGCGTCTCCATCACTTTTAGGAAGCTTCTTTTAATCCGAAGCCACATTCGTTTTCACCGTCCATTGGCAAATCGGATATCCTGGAATTATTACCTTCGTCTTCTGGCTTTGCCTTTTTCATGCCTCTCATAAACCCTAGTCAATGCTTTTCAACTCGGAAAACCCTAGATACTTTTCATGCCTCTAATAAATTGGATTTTAGAAGATAACAAAATTCTGATTTTTGCAAAAGGGTGATTATTAACCGATGAAATCTATCCTGCCCGCCCCGTCATATAAAACGACGTCATTTTGTTTATATTATTCAATAATAATAATTATAACATGAGTAAAGTACCTCGTACATGTCAAATCTTATATATATCCAACGACCATGCAATCATTCCATAGCAATCGAACCTGGAAACGATCAAAGTCCGGCAATAATGCAGATTCTGACAACTGCGTCACCTGTAAAGTCTGCCATTCTTGTCTGCTCTCATCAAATCCTTGAATGGTTAAATCCTTCAAATGTTGCCATATTTTTCGATTTCCACTCTCTCTCATCATTTGGATTTTGCGGAAAAACTCACACAGTTCCTTCACTTCCCTTTCTTTGTCCCAATTCTCTTGCATGAACCAGTTCGGAGTTATGATTCTCGGACGACAAATACAAAACAAACCATTTAAAACAGATAAAAATGAAGACAAATGACTAATATGCAGAGTCAAATGCTCCACCACAACGGGTTTATTACCACCATTAATAACGTCTTGTACTAGAATGTCTTCTTCAACGTGCACGTTGTTCGTGTAACTTTGAGCGATTTCAAGAAAAAGATTGGACCAACGTAAATCCTGGAGCAGTTTACTTAGTCTTAGGAACCACGACTGAGCATCGTTTACATCTCGAATATACAGTCCTAGAGTTGACGTGGTGGAAGCCGGTGCGAAAATATGGCAGCCGTTTTCCCATGGAGTTGACGAGATGGACAGGATAATAAATCCTGAATAGTGAAACGAGTTTATGTTGGGGGCATCAATACGTAGCTGAGATTGTTCGATCGAATTATTAAAGATTACCACCCTCTGTAGAACTAAATCCTTCAGATTACTGAACTTATGGCCGTGAAACTGAACCTTACTGCCGATAATCCTGATTGTTTCGATTGTTTCAAGTGTTGGGGCATCGATTTCAACGCTGCATTTTTCTCTTCCGTCAGTCTTGAAATTACAGAAAACGAAGTGCTTGAGATATTTGTGAAGCTTCTTCTCCAACTTGATAGTTTTCAACCCCTCACAGTCTAGGAATAACATAGTAGTAAGCAAAGGGCAGCTCGAGATTATCTTGTCAACAATCTCATTCTTGATCAACACATTGCAAAGTTGAAGTTCTTGTAGACGCACAAAGGGTATATTCTCCGGAATATTCTGGCCCAAGTTGCAATTATACAGCCACAAAAGCGTGAGGGGTTCCGGTTTAAGGACTGCGGGCAGATCGATGATTCCCCGGACACTTTGTTCCGCAATAATAGAAAGCTGAAAATCCTTTACGCCCATACTCGTGAGTAACGGGATCCATTTATCGAGAAACGAGACTGATTCCTGATCAGAATCGTCGCCTAGCAGCGATATGCAAAGGCGAAATTCCTCCAAGCACAGCCTTTGATTACAGTAATGCTGTAAGATCTCGTCGACGACAGATAGAAAATCTCGTTTTCTACCTTTGAAGGAGTCGTGTGTAAAATCGAGATTGGGGCGAGTACACCAAACGTAACGCCATGATTTCGACAAGACAGAGGTTCGGACAGCATCTTTTTGGGCGAGGAAATACAGTATCCTCTGCAAAATCTCTTTCGGCAAATCGGATATTCTGTCCATGGAGTTGGAGCCGTCCTGCGTGTAAGAAACCCTAGTGAAATTAACTCGGGAAACCATATCTATGATCTATATATACATATCTATAATATATATATACAAAGAAATATTTCTACGGTAAGGCTGGAAATCGGACTGATCGGAAAAAAAATTCAAACAGAAAAAAAAAAAAAAAAAAACCTGGAAATTGGGGAAATGATGTTCACTGTGGGGGGGAAACGATTGAAACACGGATAACTAGCAACGGCGGCGCGGCAGATTTGTAGGGAGAAGGACGGCGGAGCAACTCCGGCGATTTTGAGAGAAAAAGAGCGGTGGTAATTAGGTTTTGTGAAGTGGGATTTCAGAGAAGGAAAGAAGAAGAGAGAAACAGAGCTTCAGGAAATTAGGTAGTGGGCGTAGGGTGAGTGAATACGGTTATTATTTTTGAAATAACAGTCTAGTCCTCATGTAGTAAGTCTTCATACAGTTTAGTCCTCATACTTAATATTTTCTGTGAAAATGGTTACAATCATTTTTATGGCTGGGACTTGGTTGGTTCGGTCGATTACCGGCCTAAAAATCGACATGTCCGACAAATCAATTTTGTTCAAATTTGAAAACCATTGCCATTTTAGCACTTCGCCCCCTCAGAAAATCTATTACAATTTAACCCCTCATGAGATAATATTATTACAATTACCTCGAAGTGTAGGGGTGAGTTCGGGACGGGATTTCGGGAATTCGGGATTTTCGGGATCGGGATTTCGGGATTCGGGATAGAAATTTTAAATCCCAATCCCGTCCCAAACTATTAAATCCCGGTTATATCGGTATCCCTAAATATTTCGGGAATCGGGATTGGGATCAGGAAATCCCATATTTTGCCTAAAAACTAAGAAATATTGCATCTTTTTTCTATTAGTATTATTTTATACACTAAATCAACTTGAATATATTATATACATACTATTGTTCTTGCCTTATTTATTTTTACCACAAAACTTGGAACAAATAAAATTTTAAAAATTTAAAAATAAGTTGAAACAGTATATTTTATAGGCTGCGGCTATATGCAATACTTATTCCACTTGTGCAAGACCAAATTAAAGAAAGATTCCAAAAGATTCTATTTTATTAAGATGGAATGACAAGTATGCCCATAAATTAAATTGTCTTTTTTTCTCATGTAAGACCAAATACAAATAATGAGAAAAAAACAAAAATCGACACCAAGGTGTCGAAAAACTATGCTACAAATCGACACTTAAGCGTCGAATTTCATAGGTAAAAATCGACATTGACATGTCGAATTTGTAGCACAAATTCAAATGTCGAATTTTATACCTCAAAATCGACATCTAAATGTCGAATTTTATACCTCAAAATCGACATCTAAATGTCGATTTTTACCTGTAAAATTCGACCTGTACATGTCGAATTCGTTTGCGCGGGATTTTTTTTGGAAAATCGATATTCTAGCTAAAAAAACCCATAAATGCATACATTCTTGGGTTCTTCCATCGTAGAATCTTCTATTTTGATGTCTTCTGACTATATACTTGCCATCTTTGTAAGATTTGTTGAGTTTTGATGATTTTGAATTTCTAGGTTTTGTGGGTTAATGGAGGAGGGAGGAGAAAGGTCTTGTGAGTTTTGGAAGATGGAGAAGATGATAGTTGGTCTTGTGGTTTTGTGGTCTTGTGATAGGGTTTTTTGTGTTTTTGAATTTTTGGTCTTGCATATTTGGAATTTTTTATTTTTTTAATAAATAAGGGTATTATAGTATTTATACATTGAAAATTTTAATTTGGTCTTGCACAAGTGGGATTAGTCTTGCATATAGCCGCAGCCTATTTTATATTGTATTTCTCATCTCCTTGAAATATATATATATATATATATATATATATATATATATATATATATATATATATGTGTGTGTGTGTGTGTGTGTGTGTATTTTTATTAGTTTTTTTTTTCTTTTTTTCCTAATTCGGGATTAAAATATCCCGATCGGGATTGAACCAATTCCCTAATACCGATCCCGTATTTGTTCCTAATCCCAATCCCGAATCCCGTAATCCCGAATTCCCGAAGTTTTAGTACCAAATAGTAAAATTCCGATCGTTACGGGACGGGATCCTGAATCCCGATCCCAAATGTCCAGCCCTACCGAAGTGTAAGATGGTATATGTTTAGAGATTTTCCATGGATTCGAGATTTTCCATGGATTCAAAATGATCCCGTCAAAATTCACACGGTACCGTGTGAATTTTGTAAGATGACAACGAACTTTAGGAGGTTTTTGGTAATTATTAATACGTGAGAGTTTTTTTTGTAAATTGACCTTAGTTCAGGAGCTTTATCATAAATTATCCTTAATGTTTTGCACTAAAATGTTTATGGCTATTTGGCCATTTCAGTTTAAACTATAATGTTAATGTTTATGAGCTCACAATTAGTTTTTGGCTTAGTTACAAATATATAACCCCCGAGGTATATCTAAATTACGAGAACTCCTCTTCTATTTACGAAATTACAATTTGCCCCTTCAAAAGTTAATGTATCTTAAAAAATCTTAACATGAGTTAAACTATCTAAACTACTCCTATATCAAAACAAAATAAATAATCGCTTGGTCAAAAATTACATAATAAAGGTGGTGCCTTCACCCTCTAAATAATGCCTTTTTTGAACTTCCTCCCCTCAAAATAGGAAAACGAGACTATCCTCTTATTGTCCTCTTCGAAATATATAACTCAGTACACTTTGTCCCAAATGCGTATTTCCGATCTAATTATCGCCGATAAAAATGGAGTGAAGAAATGAGAAGCTTGTGAGGTATGTAATTTTGGCAACTCCACTTTTGGGGGATGTGGTTGATGAAGAAAATGGAGAAGGAAGAAGAGAATAAATGAAAAACGTGGCACAAAAACATGGCATTTTGCCGATTTTGAAATTTTAGCTTGCACCGCGCTAATCGATGTCAATTTCGGGCTGTGAAACGCAATTCACTCATTTGTTATGTTTGATTTGGTGAAACAAAAAAGAGTAAATAGCATTTTGCCGCCTGTACTTTGGTTCATTTTTCATTTTACCACCTTAAGAAAAAGGTTGAACGATCGCATCAAAACTCGTTTGGCAACGTGGCACAAAAGAACTAGTTCTGATGCGATCGTTCAATCTTCTTCCTTAAGGTGGCAAAATGAAAAAACGGACCAAAATACAAACAACAAAGCTATTTACTCTTTCTTGTTTCACCAAAATCAAACTTAAAAAATGAGTGAACTGCGTTTCACGCCCCGAAATCGACATTGATTAGCGGCGCACCCTAAAATTTCGAAAACCGACGAATGACACACGATCAAATTATATATATCACACAGCATAATGCAATCTATATCAGGTAAGATAAAGGAACTCATTTAATTTATAAAGGTTTAATTCAACTTAGTTCAATACAAACATCCAAAAACATTGAAGAAATAAATTCAACCATGAAATGTAGTTTCTCTTACAAACATACAACATTACACTTGTTGGATACAGCTTCATTTCTCTCTCTATCAACTTGATCGAATTCTGCACTACGGTCTTGCCTTCGCTATCGTCATGATGCTTTCCGGGTGTCACCGAACGCCCTGCATTGCATTTATCGAGTAATAACAAGGGTGTTTAGCTTAGTTTTCGAGCAAAAATCAGAAAACGGAAAAAAATAAAATAATAATAATAATAATGGTCGTAGAATCTCCTTTATTATGGTCTCGTCATACTTCCCGTTGAATCGCTATAGACAAAAAAAAAAAAAGCGACGGCGATGTAGCTCAAATTAAAACGATATGTACTAGGGTTTAATCAAGCCACAGTCCATATTTGGAAAATATATATATATTTTTTATCCAACTCTTATAAACACGAAAAGTCGACAGTAAATCATCATATAATATTAATCGACCGACCTATCGGAAGTTACGATTTGTATTCATTTAATGGAACATGTTTTTCAACAATGAATACAATGATTTTTTTCTAGGTTTCGCAGCTAAAATCGGATTTATTGAAGTTAAATACAAATCTAATTAACCAGACCGTTACACCAATTAAAAACGAGTCCGTTCGAGAAGTTTATAAAATAGTGCTTGAATTAGAAGTCGAAAAAAAATAGAAGTGGACTCACATTAATCTCGATCACTCCATTTCATTCGAATCCGAAACTCCGTAAATTCAGTTTCCAACAGCTTCATCACTTCAAAGGGCTGCCATTCCAGTCGGATCTCGTCAAGACCTTCAAAGGTTAAACCCTCCAAATCCCGCCAGATTTCTCGGTTTCCGTTTTCTATCATCTTTGTGAATTTGCCGAAGAACTCGCCGGCTTCCTTCTGTTTCCTTTCGTCGGTCCAAGTTCCTTTCCCTAACCATTGCGGAGATATTTTTCTCGGACGACAAATACAAAACAAACCACTTAGAACATACGGAAATAAAGATAATTGGCCGATTTCCAGTCTGAAATTCTCCACCACAACCGGGTTATAATTACCACCGTTAATATTGTCGCGTACTAGAATATCTTCTTCGATTTGCAGACCGAAACGCGCGAGATGAAAAATATGCAGAGTGATTTCGGACCGACGTAAATCACGGAGCAATGCGCTTAGTCTGAGGAACCACGACTGAGCATCATTCGCACCGTCGTCCCGCATGTACAGTTTCAAATTCGACCTCCCAGAAGACGGCGCGAAAGAGACGGACGGAATAACGAGCCCCGTGTATTCGTAATACTCCATCTTCGGCGCATCGATGCATAACACCGGAGATCGTTCGACCGAATTGATGGCGATTTCCACGTTCGCTAGATATAAAGACTTGATATTACTTAACTCACGGCCGTGAAACCGAATCTTACTGCCGAAAATCTTGACTTTTTCGAGAGTCGGGGCATTGATTTCGATGCTGCAGTCGTCTTTTTGATAAGTGACGTCGTTAATAAAAATGAACTGCTTGAGATGTTTGTGAAGCTTCGTCTCCAACTTTATAGTTGTCAACCCTTTACAATCTTGGAACCACATACTTGCAAGCAAAGCGCAGCTCGATATCACCTTGTCGAAAATCTCTTGCTCGATCGAGACGTTATGGAGGCGAAGCACTTCCAGACGCACAAAGGGTATATTCTCGGGAATATTCCGGCCCAAATCGCAATTATACAGCCACAAAAG